TATATATTAAGTAATCCTATTTTACTATATTCACCCCTTTTCAGCACCCCCTAGTGGTCAGGTCAGTTCCGGAATAGGCTTAACGCAGAATAAAAGCGGACCCAATGGTCAGCTCAGGTCGATACCCAATGGTCAGGTGAGCTATAGCCTCCGTCGCTGCACGGGACAGCTCTCGTCCTGCATTCGCGATGCTTCCCAGAACAGCGCTGCGGACGAGAATCCGTCTCGCCTCAAGGCCGAGCCAAGTCAACGGGCTCCGGTGCTACTCCAGAATCATTCAGGGTATGTTTGCGCCTGCATTGTTCTCTTCATCCAAAGAGGGAAGGCGGGTAAAAAAAGGGAAAAGGGGGCCGCTGGCTGACCTCCGCAATCACAGAACACGATGTCCTCCTCCTACGACAGAAGGGCGCCAGGAACGCGACGAAGCGCCAAGTCACACCCCCGATCCGATCGGACACGACTTTCAAGGCGGCCTGGGGTGTGCACGTGAACGGGTCGGACCTCATCGGCAGGACGCTGCCGTGTACCATTCAGGACAGCAAGGGCAACAATATGCGCCTGTCGGAAGTGACGCTGGCGCAATATGTGACCAACATCCCGCGGGTGGCGACACCGGTATGGCTCCCCGGAGAAATCCCACCCCTCCACTGGGAAGATACACACCGACCTGACACCGGGGACCTAGATCTACCCGCACGACTCGTCCATGATCGTCTCGCTCCTTGACATTGACCTTCCGGCGCCGGGGGAAGACCCGGTCGCCGACGCGGGCGCTCCGTTTGAGGTGTTCGAAGCCGGCACGGGTATGGGCTCCCTGACGCTGCACCTCGCGCGCGCGATCCACGGCGCCAACCCCGCCGTCCCGGCCGCGTTGCGCGCCGCCCTCTGCGCCGCCCCCTACGCCAAGGGCCAGCTCCTCAGCGACGTCGCGACCGACGACTCGCCCGAGCTGGGCCCGCACCCGCACTCCCCCGAGGGCCTGGCGCCCGAGCTGCAGGCCCAGCTCGACGGCTACCGGCCCGCTCGCCGCGCCATCCTGCACACCCTCGATATTCGTCCCTCGGCAAGCCGCCTCGCGCACGGGACGATCCGCGACTTCCGCCGCGCGCTGTACCTCCTCGACATCGATTTCCACGTGCGCACGATCCGCTCGTTCCTCGAGCCGCGCCTTGCGGCGTCGCCTGACCGCGCGCCCTTCTTGTCGCACGCCGTACTCGACCTGCCTGCGTCGGCGGACCACGCCGAGCTCGTCGTTGAGGCGCTGCGGCCCGACGGCCGTCTTGTTGTTTTCTTCCCGTCCATCACGCAGGTATTGGATTTCGTAAAGTGGGTCACGGACACGACGCAGCCGGTGTACGTGGAGCGCGTTATCGAGCTGGCCAACTCAACCTTTGAGCCAGGTTTCTCGGATGGTGTGGGCGGAAGGGAGTGGGACGTGCGCGTCGTGACGCCGAAGAAGGTGGCGAGGGGGGAGGTCGAGGCCGTGGGGGAGAATGAGGGCAAGGTGACCGTGTGCCGGCCCAAGGTGGGCACCATGGTCGGCGGTGGAGGCTTCATTGCCGTCTTCACCAAGAAGTCGCCTGCGCCGCTGCGCGTGGAGGGAGCTCAGGAAACCGTTGGTGTGGCTGAGAATGCTGCATCTGCTGAAAAGGCCGAGGACAAGTCGGATGGAGAGGTGTGTCCGGCTGACTTGTCCAGCCAGGTGAAAAGAATGCTGGGAATGGGACCGTGATTTGGGACAGCAGCCGCTTCGCGTGCTGCACTGTATCGTGTATCATGAACGCTAGACTGTACAATACTGCGACGTGACTCGCTAGACGTATAAAAGAATACGATAGAGACATATATCAACGGCCAAGCCACAACTTGTGCTGGCTGTTGCCTCCGCTCTCTCCCTGCACTTAACTGCCTGTTAGCTGCTTGACGATCACTACGGCAGGAGACAAAGCAATCCAGTCCCGAGTGGCGTTGTTGCAGGGTGTTGGTCGGAGCGTTCATGTTTGTTGGTCAAGCGTCAATAGGGGCCAGACGCTATTGAGCACCCAAAGCAGCATGTTATCAGGGGATCAACAGTGGTGATGCCCTAATGGAACTGACTCTTTGTATCGGTCGTCGATCGTCTGCGGTCATTTTCTGATATATTGGCTGCACAGGTCCATCATTTCCTAGTGATAGTACTCGGTCAGCTCGGTGCGCCACGACTCTACGACTCGAGAGCGCTCATCATGGGTTTCCAGTACCAGCATGCGGGCCCGTCTTCAGAAACGCTGCAGCACCCGTCATCTGCAGGCGAATCTGTGAACGTTCAAGCTCATGAGCGTATTCGGTCCCGAAAGCCCCGGGATTGGTTCGAAAGCACTTTATTCTGGCTGTCGCGACTCGCCTCAATCACCTGGCTCATAGTTGTGTTCACAGCGGCTTGTACTGTCTTGATATCATGGGAGGGGTACTGCGACCAGCGGCACGGGCATCGCTTGGGTGAAGACCCCACGGGAAACATTCCGGAGTGTGAGTCGACCCCTGGTTTCAACAGGTCTGTCGTTGCGTTGTCGGGTCAAGAGCTGATGCCAAAAGCGTCCAGTTCCCCGCGTCATACAGCATTTCGAGTTGACGGCCGACTACACATTCAACCCGCTGAACACGACCGCCAACGAGAAGCACCAAGTACGAAAGAACTGGGATGCTTTGATGCCAGGTGAGTCAACGGCATGCAGCCGTACGTCCAGGAACGGCGCAGCAGCCACCTACTAACAGCGGCAGTCGGCCATGGGTTCTTCAGCGCAACGAAGAACCAAAACCAGCTGCCGACGGTGACGGTCGACCCGGAGAACCACCCGGCGCACATCACGGCCGTGTTCCACCAGCTGCACTGTCTCTACATGATCATGCAGGCGTACCACTCGGGCGTGCAGGCGACGGAGGAGACGGAGGCGATGGCATTTCACCTGCGGCACTGCTTCGAGTACCTGCGGCTGTCGCTTGCCTGCCACGGCGACACGGCGCTCGGGGGTAGAGTCGACGACACGACGGCCGGGGAGGCGGGGGCACAGCATGTGTGCAAGGACTGGGGGGCTGTCAAGCGGTTTGCCGAGACGCATCGGACGAACGAGTTTCGGGGCATCATCGACACTGACTAGCAGCGGGCCTCTCGGATGAGTTGGCTATTGTGAACTGAAGACTGAGGTGAGATCGTGAAGGGTTGTATATTGAGGATGGGGGGGGGGGCTTTGACAGCGGAAAAGGGAACAGTTCCCTCTGTGGGTGTGCCTTCCTTGGTAGGTAAGTGAGGGGCAACTACCCTGTGGCAGGTGAGATCGGCCAAGGGGAAGGTCCGGCGAGACAAGCGACTTCCCGAACTGTTTCCCGGCGTGTTTCCATAGGGCGCACTCACGCGGCCATGGCCCCTTCGACCTGGAGCGCTCGTCCTCGTCGGTTCAAAATGTCTTTCGTGATAATCTGCATACCTACCTATTCTGGTGAATTGAGAGGCACTTTTGTCTGCCAAATCAACACACTACCCAAAGAGCCCCCCTAGCTTGGTAGTATCGTCCCATCGACTTCTCTTTGGCTGTGCCTTCTCATCCGCTTGACACACTCCACCACCTTGCCCACCTCGACCCCACGATGCCACCCTTTGCCTCACTACTTAGCTTGGGCCGCATCCCTCGATTTGGACCCAGGTTCTTCTCATCGACCTCCCAAGCTGCCTCGCGTCTCAAGATCAATGCTGATCGACTCAATAACACCATCCATGACACGTGTCAATGGGGCGCTGCTCACCCCTATGGCAGGTACCCTTTAACCCCTGCCCTTCCCAAGCGCACAGAGGACTCACACATGTATACAGCGCGCCTACGGAAACAGGCATGGCCCGCCTCGCCCTCACTGATGACGATGCCCGTGTGCGCCGCTGGTTCGCTGATGAAGTCCGGAACATCGGCTGTGACGTTGCCGTAGACGCCATGGGCAACCAGTTTGCCCGTCGTCGCGGCCGCACTGCTGCTGCCATGACTGCCATGGGTAGCCACCTCGACACGCAGCCGCGCGGTGGTCGCTACGATGGCATTCTAGGTGTCATTGCTGGCCTCGAAGTGCTGCGAACCTTGCACGAGAATGGCTACGAAACCAAGTTTGACGTTGGTGCGGTGAACTGGACAAAGTACGCCCTACCTTGCGCTCGACTTCCAGCAAAGAACTGACACGACTTGATTAGCGAGGAGGGCGCCAGGTTTCCCAAGTCCATGATCTCCTCCGGGGTCTGGGCTGGCGACATCCCGATTGATAATGCCCACGCCCTCGCTGACATTTTCGACCCCTCGGCCACTGTCAAGTCTGAGCTTCGACGACACGGTTTCCTCGGAGACATCGCCTGCACATATGGCCCCCAAGGTTACCCTCTGGGCGCCCACTTTGAGCTGCACATCGAGCAGGGCCCCATCCTGCAGGACGCCGGCCGCCGAATCGGTGTTGTCCAGGGGGCTCAGGCCTACCGCTGGTTCACCTTTACTGTGACGGGCCGGGACGCACATACAGGAACCACGCCGCTCGGTGCCCGAAAGGACCCCCTCCTCGCTGCGAGCCGCATGGTAGTCGCAGCCCACGAGGCAGCCAAGGCGGTAGGCGGCCTCGCATCCACAGGCGTGTTCAAGATGCCCACCAACTCGTCCACAAACACAATTGCCAGCACAGTGAGCTTCACGCTAGACATTCGACACCCAGAGGACGAGGTTGTAGCAAGGATGCAGGACACGATTCTCGCAACGTTTGAAGGTATCGCCGGCATGGACGGGCGCGGTGTTGAGCTCGCCTGGACTCTCGACACGGACTCGCCGGCAACCAAGTTCCACCCCGACTGCATTGGTGCCGTGGAAAAGGCGGCCGATGGACTCGTCGGCCGGGACGGCTGGCTGCACATCACGAGTGGTGCGGGCCACGACAGCGTCTATACGAGCCGGCGGTGCCCGACGACCATGATCTTTGTGCCGTGCAAGGACGGCGTCAGCCATCATCCGGAGGAGTATTGCAGCCCCGAGGACTGGTGAGTGGTCTTGTGTTTGGTGTGCATGATGTTTTGAAGACTGACATTTGTGGACAGTGCAATGGGAACGCAGGCATTGCTGGACGCTGTGCTCGAGTACGATGAGAACAGGAGTTCATGAACGACAGTCGAGACGGGTATGATTTTGCGTATACCACTTGGCTCACTTCTCGAAAGTCGATGTAAATGACATATAGTACATTCAGTCAATTTTATTGCTGTCTCATAATCCCGTTCCTCTCAACGGTGTCAGGCACATCGGGTTGTTCTAGGCTTGGTGATTCCAACGCGATGACGTGCGTCGTTTTCCTATAATGCTAGCGACTTGCTCGAAAAGTGTGCAACCCCTCTCTTGATTTCAGACTTTGACATATGTATATTGAAAATCCAATTCCAAATTCAAGCTTACACGTCAACATCCAGTGTTGCGAAAAATCGACCATGGAGAATCGTCATCAAGAATGTCAGAATCCGGGGCGCTCCGAGTCGGCTGCAAAAAGGAGCCCCGCCCGGCGGAGCGAGCGGGGGCACCTGTAGTCAGAGGGCGCCGGAACACGCCGCGAAGGCGATTCCACGGCCCAAAACCTACCAATGCCCTCTCCAAATAGGTTCCGGCAATAAAAGCCGCCGCGCGCGCGCCGAGTCGGCGCACTGTCACGAGAGGATTTCGTTGTGCTCGCTCGCCCTGTGAGGGGTTCCATGTTTATTTTGTCAGGTCGGCTTGCCAGCTTGACCCCGCAGAAGGTAGTGAGCTCTCCCTACCCATAGGGGCCCAAGAGCCTCGAGGTCCATGCAGTGACGAGTCCGCCATGTAGGAGGACGAACGACCATTTTTTCGATGCCAACCAGAGAAAGAGATCTGAGAGACTCTCCACTTGAACACGTACTCGCTTGCTTGCCGTACTTGCACTCTTCGTCGTGGACCTTCAAGCTGAACGGAGCGTCTGCTGCAATACGCAGACGGCGGCCCATTGCCGAATTCGAGGAACCCCCGGCCGCCGCCCAGGCCTTCCACGCCCAGCTGCGCTCTTCGCGCTCACACCGCTGATGTCCCTCCCGACGCTCGCTCGCGCCCTCGGCGAGGCGCTCGCGGCGGCAGTTCAGAAGCGGCGTCGTGGCTGTGGAGCCGAATACGGCGCCATGTTTGCATGAGAGTCTGCGGACTGGCAGGTCTGTGACGGCTCACTCGGGTGCCAGGACGATCATGGTCGGGATGAACTATGGAACTGTGTCGGCATCGCGTGGCAGGGTCGAAGGACAGGTGGAGACGTGAATGTCGTGCTGTCGAATTCGGAAGCACATTTAGCAAATAAGGCTCTCTCGAGGGAAACGGCATCAGGCTTGGGCCTTGTGGTGTCGCCGCTCGGGGCGCGTTGTGGAAGATTCGAGAGACCGGAGGAGATGAGGTGAGTGCGGTGCCGTCACCAGATGCCGGTATTGTGCTTCTCGTGACTGAGGGGCCTAGGGAAGATGACATGCCCAACAGGCCAGGGCAGTATGGAGGTTCCATGCCAGCTTCTAAAGTTTGACGTCTTCAGGCATCAGATAGACTCCATGGGAGTGTGAGGGATTCATCGAAGCTGCTTGGCTTGCAAATTCTCGCTCAACCTGTGTCGTTCAAAAAGCAGTGATAGAACCAGTTTGGCAACATCGCCACATACCTATGTGCCAACCCCCTTTACCATGACAGCCATGGGTCCTTGAATGCCACACTCACCGTCCCACGCTTCCATCGTCAAGCCCGCCCGAAAGTGTGCCGCTAAATGCTGCACCCTCTGCTCCCATCCTGTCATCCGCACCCCGCAGAACCCGCAATGACTGGGTACCGAATCCTGTGTGCGCCTGAGCATCGAAACGTCCATGGCCCAGCCTTCGCGCCGCCGACAGCCATGGAACTTTTGCAGGTGCTGTACGAGGTGATCCTTGCGACTAAAGGTCCGCGCCTCGAGACTCCTCTCGGCGCACTCCTCGAATTGGTGCGACTGGAAATGGGTGATATCCGGCGAGGAGTGGCCGCAAAAGACGCATTCCGGGCCACGGGATGCGGGGCGCCAGGTGATGAGAGGGTCAGAGGCGGCGAGAGGTACACCACAGATCCAAGAATGGAGGCCGGGCAGGTGGACGGACTGCTCATGGCGAGACCAGTCAAACTTTTTATGAAAGGACTGGAGGCAGAACGTGCACTGGAAGTTTGTCGCTGTCGCAGGCTTGCCCGTCTTTGCAAAAGGATGGATGCCGCCATCGGAGCTGTTACCGGACCGTGCCCCGAAGTGGTTGCTTGCAGACGAGTGGAAGGAATAGCAGGATGAGTTTGAATCAGACGAGCCATCGAGGCTGCGGCCCCTTGTGTTGAAATTGAAGCTGTCGTCTGCCGAGGACGCGCTACCTTCGCCAAAACTATCAGCTGGCTCGAGATTGTTCGAGTTGTCGGACAGAAAGGCGTCTAAAGCACTCTCGAGAAGCGTAAGATCGACAGGCTCCTCGTCTGGAGGTGAATTTCGCCATCGCTCGAGGGGTGACATGTTCGACAAGAGAGACCGTGGTCTGGGCGACCCTTGCGGGTGTTGTTGTTTGGAAGACTGTCTCGAGACCCGAAGTGATAGCCTGTGTCGACGCCGGGCATTGGTGAACCAGTTGACAACCTGCGACTTGCTGAGGCCTGATTGCTGCGCTAGACTATCCTTTACATCATCAGACGGATACGGATGGTCCAGATGCGCGGCAAACCAGGCTCTGAGAGCGCGGTTCTTGTGAACCGATCGAGAACTGGCTCGCTTGCTTGACGAAGATGGCATTACTAATGATGCTGGGTGTGGTGCTGGCGCCAAGGGGTCCTCGAGAAGGGGGTGCTCATCGAATATCGAAGTCGAGGCTGAGGGCTCTTCGTTCACTCCGTGGAGATGGCCTATGACAGGTTCTGATGTTTCAAAACTGGAGTGGTCGCGTTTGGCCTGGCCGGCCAAGGAACAGTCGCGAAAGAGTGCAACGCAGGATGAACATGACGAGACGGGGTTGGGGTTGGCTGATGTCGTCCGGAGTATAAAGCATTGCAACCGGTGACGTCTGCAGTTGGCGCATGGCATAGGCGGCCAGTACGTGCCATTATCGAGTAGAAGCTCATCCAAGTTCTCGTCATCCATCGTGTCGATGTCCAGTCTGTGGCTTAACAATAAGCCTACATGAAGGAAGGAAGGAAGGAGGAGGCAGTGAGTCCTAATTGCATATCGTGATTAGTCGACCCGGTGCGCTGCATTACTTTGTGTTGCTGCTGTGCGTTGTCCTCGCTACATGCAGGAAGGAGACCCCGTATCAGCATAACCGAATTCCACACCTGGGCGGACAGCCGGGCTATTGTGCAGGCTCATGAACATGATCTCAACACACCACAAACCGCCTGGTCATCCTCAGACAGTCTTACTCTACAAGGCGTGCCGAATTTAAAATGGAAGTTATCGATAACGAGCCTCTCCAGGTCTCTTTCCCTCTACCACGTTCGATCGATACTCGTGTATTCATTCACCTTACCATCAAGGCCAAAGCCGTTACCTTGTTCCTCACCACAGCAAACCAGGATGAGCCGTCATCACCAGCAGCCATGGGCTCCTTCGTCTACGCTCTGCCTGACGTAAGCCATTTACTCATCCTCCCAGCTGAATATCACTGCCCCGTCACTGACCATGCACAGCGTCTCAACCCCGCTCAGCCAATTTCCACAACACTCTATGTTCACGAGCCGACCCTCGAATTCACGCAGCGCATGGCGAAGCTGATCGCCAAGCGGGCGAACATGCCCGTCTATGTTACCAACAGTAGTTCCTTCACAAACTGCCCCGAGGGCGGCACCGTTGAGGAGGAGATGGACGTCTTCAAGCGGGTCGTCGATGTGGTGATTGAGCGGGTCCGACTGGTCGTCAAACCGACAGCAGCAGCCAACGGTGTCTGATCGGCTGCTTTCACGAAGTTCTGGGCGCCGTTTGCGAAGGCCTCCTCTTCGTGGCTGGCGTCACGTCGAAAGGCTGGTGAATTCTCCTTCGGGGTAACGTGCTAGCTTTCGCTGTCCCGCGTAGCTGTTTATGTTGCACGTCTACGATCGGCAGCAGAGGGGAAATGGGGGCACATGCGGCCTGCCGCAGGCAGTGGCTGGCGGGAATATTCGGGGTACGCGCTCAAGACTGCCCTAGTGATGCAGAGAAGCAAGAGCTTTGAATGAGTACGGAAGCTCAGAGGGTCTGCGAACGATGGCAGAAGCTGTTGCGAAATAGGAGGCCATGCCCGGTGTTCTATTTACGCATGGCTGTAATGAGGATTTTCTTCACCGAGAGCGTCATTTCCAGTCAACGGCCGTCTCTAGTGCATCGAAATATCATTGTTACGAAAAGGAACTTCGGACCGTCGCACGCGGCATCTCAAGCGCTGTCCTGTGTCACGCCAGGTGAGGAGGTATGATAGACGGGCTGCTGCAGGCGGTGGCAAGGGAGGTGCCCGAAAGCTTGACGCCAAGACGACGAAATCTGCTGCCGCCAATGGCCCTAGTTGATACCTTGCATTCGGCTATCGCCCAAATATAAAGAAAAATGAGTTGAAACGCGTGTTTATTCCATCCATCGCAAGAACCGCGACTGTGGAAAGTACCTACCTACCTCGCCTGGCAGACGCAACATTCATGTAAAGAAATAGGCAGCAAAGGGTGCAATTCGCCCCAGACCGGTGCATTATCCGAACAAGGCTTATCGAACGGACTATCTTTCGTCAGAACCCCGCCCTTAGCGCAACCAAGGATTTTGCGGGCAGCAGCAGTGACTGGCAAAAGTCACCGCAGAGAAGCGGGACAGACAGATATGGAGGGCGGGGGCCACAAGCACTGTAAGGCAGGGTACCTTACCTAGGTATAGCACCAGCTGGATCTGTGCTTTTCCATCACCAGATCAGGTTTGCAGCCCGCCTTCTTTGTTCTGCCTCTTGCCCCCTACTCCTCATCTGTATGGCCTACATTTCGAATCGAGGGCAAATTGCAGTATTCCTGCAAGGCAGCCAGCTACCTTGATCGTCGACAGCTCCCTTCGGAGACAACGGTACGTCGTCTGTCGAAACCCCTCCCCTTCTTGGCGGCAGTATCTGTGCCAGTGCCACATGTGTCAGTACCCTGGCCCCTGCTCTCTCTCTCCCCCCCCCCTCTGATTTTTGGCTCTTTCGACCTGGAGCGGGTCTCAACGAGGGGCTCGAGCCTGGAGTGTCAGTCGCGGGGCTTCAAATTCCTGTCGCTTTCCGCACCGCACCACTCCACACACCACCACCACCACAACATCACTCCTACCACTGATCGGGCGCATCGTGGGAACAGAAAAGCGCTGACAAGCAGTCTCCCACTAGTACTGCCTCGGTGGATGTAATTCTCGGCACAATCTTTATTTCATCGCCGGCCTGCCTTCGTTTTGTCTTCGAGCTGTCGCATCCATCGAACGACCGCAATCAAACCACCTCGATCCTTTTCAACTCCCACATCGATCGACCCCCCTCGAACCGACACCATCATGACCTGGCAGCCAAGCCAGGAGTCCTTGAGCCAGCTTGCTGTCTGTCTCAAGGACTCCTTGAGCGGCTTCGACAAGAATGCGCGCAAACAGGCTGAAGATGTGGGTTTCATTCGCACATTTCGAGCGATCTGACCTTTTCGGATCACAAATGTAAACTGCAGTCGCAAAACGTTACTGACGCACTCTGCTTCAGATGCTCACGCAGGCCAAGGCCTCGCCCGATATCAACAACTACCTCGCCTACCTCTTCTCCAGCGCCGAAGCCCCGGCTGGCGTCCCCTTCAACTCCATGGAGTACCACCTCGTACGATCCGCCGCCGCCATCATGCTCAAGAACAACGCACGCTCCCAGTACAAGCAAATCCCCGAGAGCAGCATGTCCCTCATCAAATTGGCCATTCCCATGGGAATTCAGGACAAGAACCCGCAGATCCGAAGCTACGCTGGTAATATTGCGACGGAAATTATCAAGAACGGAGGTCTCCTGAGCTGGCCTGAGCTACTGCCTCAGCTCCTGAGTCTGTTGTCGAACGAGTCCGGCCAGGTCCATGCCGAGGCCCAGGAGGGCGCCATGCACGCCATGGCCAAGATCTGCGAGGACAACGTGAAGCTCCTGGATCGCGAAGTTAACGGCCAAAGGCCTCTGACTTTCCTCATGCCCAAGTTCATCGAGGCCACCAAGAACTCTCTGCCCAAGGTCCGCGCCCAGGCTCTCAGCGCTATCAACGTCTTCATACCCCGCAAATCGCAGGCCATGCTTAACAACATTGATGATCTGCTATCCCACCTCTTCACGCTGGCCACGGACGACAACCCCGACGTGCGTCGCCAGGTGTGCCACGCCTTTGTCCAGCTCGTGGAAGCTCGTCCCGACAAGCTGCAACCACACATCAGCGGACTGGTGGACTACATCATTTCGCAGCAAAAGAGTGACGACGAAGAATTGGCCAGCGAGGCTGCCGAATTCTGGTTGGCCGTCGGCGAGCATCACGATCTATGGCAATCGCTCTCGCCGTACCTCGACAAGATCGTCCCGGTCCTGCTGGACTGCATGGTCTACAGTGGAGAGGATATTGCACTCCTTGGTGGCGCATCAGACGACGAGGACGAGGAGGATCGCGAGGAAGATATCAAGCCGACATTTGCCAAGAAGTCTGCTGGCAGACAGGCCAACGGACCCGATGCCTCGGCCGACCCAGGACAAAACGGAAATGCGTACGAGAAACTGGCCGACATGGAGGACGACGATCTGGAAGATGGCGAGATCGACGAGCTCGAAGATGGCGACGAAGATCCCGAGGGCAAGTGGACGATTCGCAAGTGCTCTGCCGCGGCTCTCGATGTTTTCTCGAGAGATTTTCAGGATCCCGTGTTCACGGCCATTCTCCCGTATTTGACGAAGAACCTGAAGCACGAGGATTGGCAATACAGAGAAGCTGCCGTACTGGCGCTCGGCGCCGTTGCCGAAGGAGCTAGCCGAGCCGTCACACCTCATCTTCCCGAGTTGATACCATTCCTGTTGACGTCGCTGGAGGATTCTGAACCCATCGTCAGACAGATTACCTGTTGGACGCTGGGTCGGTACTCGCATTGGGCGGCCGGTCTGACAGACCCAGCGCAGAAGGCTACATACTTCGAACCTCTAATGGACGGCATTTTGCGCAAGATGCTCGACAAGAACAAGAAGGTTCAGGAGGCGGCGGCTTCTGCCTTCGCGAACCTAGAGGACCAGTCTGGCAAGGTACTTCAGCCATATGTTGTACCGATTCTGCAACAGTTTGTCCGCTGCTTTGCGCGCTACAAGGACAGGAACATGTACATCTTGTATGATTGCGTGCAAACGCTCGCCGAGCAGCTTGGACCCTTTATGGCGCAGCCCGAGATTGTCAACATCTTCATGCCGTCGCTGATCGAGCGTTATCAGAAAGTCAATGATCAGTCGCGCGAGCTGTTCCCGCTGCTCGAATGCCTGTCCTACGTTGCCATGGCGCTCAACGACTCTTTCGCGCCTTACGCCCAGCCTATCTTTGGTCGTTGCGTCAACATTATTCACATGAACCTCGAGCAGAGCATGGCTGCGAACAACAACACGGCAGTCGAGTCGCCTGACAAGGACTTCCTCGTTACAAGCCTCGACCTTCTGAGCGCCATCGTCCAAGCGCTCGAGAGCCAAAAGTCGCAAGAGCTCGTCAGCAATGCCGATGCTTCATTCTTTGAGCTTCTCGGCTTCTGCCTCGAGGATCCTCAGGACGACGTCCGCCAGTCCGCTTATGCCCTCCTCGGTGACTGCGCCAAGTACGTCTTCCCGGCTCTGGAGAAGCACCTCGGCACCATCATGCCCATTCTCCTGCAGCAGCTTGACCTTGACAGCATCCTTGACGAGGAGATCGACAGCGGCTTCAGCGTTGTCAACAATGCCTGCTGGTCGGCTGGCGAGATTATCATGCACAACACCAAGGACATCTCTACTTACGTTCCCGAACTCCTCCAGCGCCTGGTTGACATTGTCTCCAACCCGGCCGTCTCGCACGCCGTCACGGAGAACGCCGCCATTACGATCGGTCGCCTCGGTTTGCACCACAACGAGCAGCTCGCCAGCATGCTGC